AATAAATTTTTCAAGTTGCCAACACCATGTAATCATCTAGTAAATATATTTATTAAGTACAAATTATATTTAGATGGTCAACAAGAAGGGTGACAATATTTTTTCTTCAAAATCAGAGGATTTAGTCACAATTTTAACTAGCGGTGATCAATGGTTAATTTTAAATTTCCATTTGAATCCTTAATTTCGCATTATTATTAATCTAGTGATAATTTAACTGGTCATGTCAAGCAATAGTATATTCTGTAATTGAACTTCTGGTTAAATATAGTATGTACCTCAATTGTACTAATGATTAATGACACATATTTTAGAAACTAAATGGATTCATTTTTTAATTTCGTGAAGAAAATTATTTGCAATAGTAAAGTTTGTTCCTTCGTATCATATAGTATTAGTTCTTCTAGAGCCTTCAGCCAGATCTATAGAAATTGATAATGTATTATTATTTTTATCATTCTCCTATAGACAGTTGAGATAAGTTCAATTAGATGTACGCTATGTACTAAATAAGTGATTTAACAAATATGCTTTATTATCACTTTCTCAACGGTCTTTTAACTTTTACTTAATTAAAATGGTTAAACAAATAAACAATAATAAAAATAAATAAGGAGAGAAATAAAAATATAAAAAACATTCATTTTCCCTGACTCCACCCCCCAACCCCCACCCATTGAACAAAACTACTACTGAAAAAATATAAAACCCCACAACCAAAAAACAAAGAATAAGCAAATCATGCTCAATTTCGAATAGCAAATGCACATTTTTTAAGAATTATTATTAGTAGTAAATCATTTGGAATCATTACCTGCGGAAGAAATTAAATCATCTAATAGTGAAAAAGAATCAAACAAATATGCATGGGAGATTGAAGTAGCGTCACCTTTGCCAGCGTAGTTTTTGCTTCTATAGGTGGCAAGGTGGTTGCCTGGTTGTGGTGGGGAGATGTCTTTTTGAAATTAGTCAAACAAAGATTGAACGTTTGAGTTCTGATCGATTCACCAGATTTTTGGATAGAAAATAGGTCCCGTGCACATTTATTGAAAGATTTGAGACGTAGCTGCTACGATTTAAAGGCTTACGATTGTGCTGCACATCTTTCAAAGGTTTAGAACCTCCACTGCAAATTTTCCTATGGCTAGTAAATTTAAGTTTAAAGATCGTGAAATAGACTTTTGATGTGCATTTGTCAGTGTTACAAGAATTATATTGAATTGAACTTTTGATGTGTATTTGGCAATGTCATAATTGAACTCATTAATTCAACTAGAAAGTTAAAAAAAAAAAAAAAATGTTCGAAATATTGTTCAACAAGTTTACTTTTGGTATGGGTTTGTACACCTAAGAGCGATTTGTTCATAATTTGGATTTCTTTTAAAGCACTAAAAAAATGGTTAAAAAGTACACAAGCAGGGAGGAAAAAAACTTGATTACAGGACTTGGGGTTAGACCGATTACTTTAGTAGTTTTATAGTATCGTTTCTTTTTTTAGCACCTCAATATTTGGAACATTGGTATTTACTAGTCGAGTTGAACGTGCATTACACGTTATTATGAATACTTTATGAACGTCGTAAAAGTAATATTTGTTACAAACTTGTTGAGATGATTTGATGAGTATCAAATGATCTAAAAAAAATAAAAATTAGGATAAAAATTTAAGAGAAGAAAATTGTACTCTCAAAACTCTACTTCTATGATTCAAATTTTTTGTGACGATGAAATACTACAATGAGCAATATTTTTATACTATATTTGGTATATAAGAATTAATCTAATACATGAATTTAAGCACACATTAAAATTCCTAGATACATGAATAGGAATAAATTCATCTATAATAATTTATATTCCTGTAGATCAAGATTCATCACTTAAAGATTCATTGAGTTTAGATTAATTTGAATGTTAATCGTCCAAAAAATGATTCACACTTGATGTGATATTTAATATATTATAGATGTATATGGAATAAAATTTTGGGATTTATTTAATAAAAGATTAAAAAAAATGGCAAAAATTCTAAATTTCATTCCCAAAATGCCCTCTGCCCTCAACAAAGTTGATCATCAAACAGATAAGGTGTATCCATTCCATTGTCCTCCCTTTCTCCCAATCCTCGTAACAATGGAAGCCAATCTCTTCACTTTACCCTCCTCCAGACCGCCACCTCCATACACATCCTCCACCACCGCCACCACCCTTTCCCTCAAGTCCCATTTCAACAATCTTTTCCTCACCACCACAACCCACCGTCCCAAATTCCCATCCAAGACTCAAAATTTACCCAAAATCCAAGCCGCCATAACCAGGACCAAGAAAGAGGAAACAGTAGAAAAGGTCAAGCAAGAACTTGAAAACTGCCAGCTATTGGCAGGCATTAGTTACAAGGGCTTCACTGTTAAACAATTCCAGGAACTTAGAACCCAACTCCCTGAAAATACTAAGCTTTTGGTTGCCAAGAATACTCTTGTTTACAAGGCCATTGAGGGGACCAAATGGGAGGCGTTGAAACCGTGTATGCAAGGCATGAATGCGTGGTTTTTTGTGCACGGTGAGGAAATCCCAGCTGCGTTGAAGCCTTATAGGACTTTCCAGAAGGAGCAAAAGATGGAGGACAATGACTTTACAGGAGCTGTTTTTGAAGGGAAATTTTATGGGCCGGACGAGTTTAAGGCATTGGAAAATTTACCCACAAGGGCTGAGATTTATGCCAGGCTTTTGGGGGGTTTGAAGGCCCCTGCTTCTGCTGTTGTTGGCACTATTAAAGCCCCTGCTAGAGACTTGGTCATGGTGCTTAAGGCCTACTGCAAGAAGCTTGAGGAGGAGAGTGGTGCTGGACAATAACTGTTCGTTTGATTTGTGGGCATTAATCGTATGTAAGCTTTTTTTTTTCTTTCTTATTTTAGCATTTCTAAGTGTAAGGTAATCAGTATAATATTTTGTACAATGGATTGTGTATCGATGATTAATTTTAACTGATATTTTCCCTCATAACATTGAGCATTGAACTGGCTGGTGTGTCTAAAATTGGATTGAATAGGATTAAAACTAGTAATTGATTACTGGGGGAACTAGAATTTGTATATTGCAGCATATTTTTTATTCTTGTTTTCTTAATTTTCTTCACGAGTTTTCCAGGTAATCAGATTATGAATTTCTCTGCATCTTCACTTAATTTGTTCGGACAGTTCCCACTTAGTGATACTTCTTCATGCTCATATAAGCTTTAGTGTTGTAGTTGAATTACGTATGTATAAGTGTTTGAAAGAGGCACTTTCTGATTCCAATACAAAATTATTGTCATTTTGGCTTTCTTGATCACTGAAATATAAAAGAAGTTCAAGTGGTAAGGGCTGTACATCATGTGGATATTGATCATCGTTGAGAACAATGATTATGATGGCATTGTCAAGTCAGTAGGAATGTTGGATTCCGGGCTTGTAAAAATCTTTTCTAGGCTGGAAAATAGTCTTGAAGTTTTTCTTAATGGTTTCATACTGAAAGACATGTTATATATCTAACTGAAGCAACTCTCATGAGCGTGACCAAGATAAATAATTCATATATTGTAAAGTGGATTTTGATGTGCCGTTACTATGAAGGCTTTAAGGCATCTGCTAATCTTGCTCCCATGAATTTGAGAATACTTTTGTAGATACTCAAAATGCAACTGTACTCGCATAACCGGTTTAGAAATCACTTTGATGGAAAGTAGACTATTTCTACCTTGTTGTGTGGCGAAGTTCTTCATCCTTCTTACTCTTCTTGCTAACTACACCCCACCCACCTGGAATCATGACACAATTACACTCTTACCTTTCCAGAAAGGATGTCTGTTTTGAAGTTTCCTGCATAGCAAGAGATTAATGGATATTGTGGCCCCTTTGCATATCACCCATTGAATATATGATGCTTGCAAAAAAATATTCTTGCTCTATGATGCACTGACACAGACACATGTGTCCGACACGACAATCGACAAACGATTTTTCAATAAAATATTGACACGACACGTCAAGTCACTGATATGTTGATTAAATTCCTTAACACTATTCATTTATAGAGTATAAATTGAGTTTTAGATTTGTTATTAATTTTCCTTGTTGAAATCTTTTTAATTATGACTTTTATTTGTTATTTAATAATAATTTTGAGTTAAAATATATAATTTTTTTGATAAAGAAAGAAAAATGATCATGGTAAAGTGTCCGAGTACTGTCGGTATACGACATGTATCGGGCACAAACACCCCAGCTAGTTGAAGTGTCCGCGCAATACAGTTCTTGCTGTTTGGATTTGTTTTATTAGTTTGTTCTGTAGTTTGTTGCACCAGTTGCTAATATATTTATATGTTGGTCGATGCAACTTTTGATAGAGCCTTAAATGTTCTTAGAAATTTTGGTAATGACTTAGGCTGGTGAATAATGTTATCAGTATAAATTATGGCTCCGGTGGTACGATGCACCTGTGGCCTTACAGAAGATAGTAGCATTTCTGCAAGTCTGCTCTGTATATGAAGTATGGAGCTGGGTGCTTTATCTGCTTAGTTACCCTCTTTTTCTTTTTTATAAATCCTGTTTCCAGATAATGATCTTTAGTGGTTAGCAAATGGATTATGACGCCTCGATCAATTGATTTGGAGCTAGCCCTCTGGTTTAATGGTTTTTACTCATTCTATGATGACCATTTTAAAGAAAGATGCAAGCTTTGTCCAGAATGATGGGCAGGAAGCTTCTATAGTGGGGCTTTTTAAGTCAGTCGCCAAATCTAATGGCTAAATTCTGGACCGGCAGTGGAAACTACCAAGCCTGTGGAAAGACGACGCGGCGAATAGCTAGTGTATTGAGTTCTTGTGGCACTGGTGTTATTTTTGGTATGGTTGATTGTTCATATTATAAGATGACTTGCGATTTAGTGCTGCACTAGGTTTAGAAGTATTAATTTTTTTTAAGGAACTCTTGCTACTAGGTGATCTTATAGAGGAAACGGTTATTGAAGGATATTTCATGTATTGCACACCAGTCTCTTGCTTAAGCCCCCGGTCCCTTCCATTGTCTCACAGAGATCACTGTTTTACATACAGAACATGCTACAATTTGGAAACCATGCGAGCTGAAAGAACTCAATAATTGATTTGAAAAGATTTATTATGTGATTTTGCAGTAAGAGGTTCAATAGATAAAAACGTCACAGTCAAGGATGAGAATAAGTGATTGAGTGGTTGGGCAGCCCTGTTTGCAAATTGTCTAGATAATACTAGTCCAATATCCAATCCACTCTTCCCTGCATTCGGGAGGGATTCACCAAATAATGACCTAGCTATAGTTTTATATGTATGGCCTGTTATCTGTTGCTAATCCTGTCTCTCTCGTGATATCAATTGGCTATCGTTCTTTGGACTCCGTTCTTTAAAAGACACTTCTATTACTATATTACTAGGGACTACCTAATTGATGTGGATAATTTCAACATACACACAGATGAACTTCAACCCTGTTCAAACATGGTAGCTTCGTGCGCGAATTCTTTGAGTTGTCATTTTAGGTTTAGAACTAATGACAAATTTAGTAGGTAGTAGTTCTATGTTCATGTCGTTGTCCATGTAGAAATTAGAATGGATGTAATTCGAGTGGAAGGCACTTGGGATGATTCAAGAACTGACAGCATTAAATAATGGAGAAATGATTTTATAGTATCATCTATTACACAACGAGAAATATATTAACCGAAACGCTGGAATCAACACTGAAAACATTTTTATCGCAATGGAAAAGTAACAAAGAAATTAACCCTCTATGGAGTTAGGTATACAGTGAAGTGTGTAATTGTTTCAAGTCCATCTGTTGTGTGCTGATCCTCGTGGGGAAGTGTTTCAATGGTCGCATACCCCTTTGCGTTCTCATACTTTCCAGTTCCACCAATAATAGCAATGTGAGAGATCGGAGTAGCTGTTCTGTGAACTCCAAAGAAACTAATGGTGTCATCAATTTCGTGATCATGACCTTGAAACAATGCTGTGAGGATGAGAGTATGGCTGCTGCCATCCGAAGAGCTCGCCATGTAAAATCCTTGAGCTTTTCCAAGTACTGCTGATCCCAGTTCATGCCCTTCAGTTATCTCATTGTCGACCACTGTTATAGAACCGAACATGAGCTGTTGCAGGGTAAGGCCAGCCGGAAGCTGACCTGCAGTGACAAAGGCTTGGTTATTTCCACCATTTACTATGTTGTTGTTGCCACTGTTTTGTAAGACGGTGTTGGTTGGTGAACCATTGAGGCCAACGAGGGAGGGGAAATTATTGTTGTTGATGACGCCATTGATCGTGTTGAGTGGGACACCACCATTGATTGGGAATATTTGGTTGTTGGGCTTGGAGAAAGGGAGGTTATTAGCATCAGAGTTGGCCACAATACCCGTGACCACCCGCCCAGAAGGGTGTGAGCCACCGAGGATATCGTGCATGAAGAAGGACAACAAGGGCGGTGATTCTGGAATAGCATTTGCTGGTGTGGCACTAACTGTCGTGGAGGAGGCACTACCAACTGCTCCGATCGGTGTTGCGGTGGCTACTGGTGCCAGATTGGTGGTCGGTGATGGCTCTATATCGGGAGTATCGACTGCAGGCGCAACAACTTGAGCATCTGGTTTAGTCGGAGTAACAGGGCCAGCTATGGTGGCAGACAATTGTCCGCTTGGTAATATAGCTGCGGGAGCCACCACTGGTGCCACATCCTGTATGTTGGCCGGGAATGGGAATTGCGGGGTGACGTCATCGAGAATTCTGGCTGAACTAGCCCACCAGAAGGTGGTGGCTAGCAAGAACAAGCAGATGAAGTTGAGTGGTTTAGAGGGTAGCATAAAAAGCTTAGCCATTTGGTTGTGAAAAGGGGGGAAAATGTAAAGGTATGAATGCAGAGACTAATCTTTGTTGATACATATATAGTTTTAGTAGGCAGTAATGAAAAGTGGAGCTGGAGAAATGGAGCTAGTACGTGCCCCTTAAGGTTTGATCAGATAAAGAACCTAACCTGGAAATGTTGGTTTTGTTGAATACTAATCGTTTTGGTTGCAGAACAACCACCTTTTAATGTTCGAAAGGAAAAGGCAAATTAAGATACCCCTCAAACTCTACAAATTTGCTATATACTTCTATGTACCGTAGTATCAAATGGAAACAATTTCGCTCCCGCTCATGTGTGCGTTGATTAGAAAAATTGAATTCGTCTTGCAGGCTCGAATGAATAAATGTTGGTAAAAGATAAACACTGAACCCCTTTTTTTTTTTTGGGAAATGTCGGGGTGGCCCTTCCAAGGAGATAGGCAGGCCGCAGGAGGAGGGTTGAGATTAAAATATCTTGATTTCTTACTTATTTTTTTAAAATATAAGTTATATTTATAAATATAGAGTGAAAAGGATTGTGATCGATCACGGTTAGTATTTATAATAAAATTATTGGTTTTTTAAACATCTCTTCATTGTTGTGTGTCCAAATTCATATTCTTGGTAGAATTGAGATTTTGGCATTGCCCGTATTATTCCATTCATATGTAATAGAAGTTTAGTTGTTAGGATTCATATTTTATAATGAATGTTGATATACGTGTGATTAAAAGTTATGGATGTTATGGAATATGTGATTAATCAATTATAAACTTCGACTTTTATTAAAATTAAAATTTTAATCTATATCAAACATGGGCTAAGAATTGTTTTTGAGTGGAGAATGAATCTCTCTGCCTATGTAGCAATTGCTTAATTTACAAGACAAGATTGTGACTTGCATTTGTTGGGTTTTAATTTGTCATGTGAACTATATATGTAATTAATTGTTTATTAAAGACTTATCTTAAGGTTAAGCACATTTCCAATGATCTAATGAATTAAAATTACTGGGTTTCGGGCATTTAATATGGTCTAGGCCTAAATATGTGTAGAGATCAGATTCTTTTGGACTGTATTTTATGATGTGTCAAAATACATATGAAAATATACATATAAGGTTATGGTCTTCAATTCTTACGTGACTTCTCATTATTTGTGCCTCCCATCAACTCAAGAATAACAAGATAAAGCGTATCGAAGAGGAAGATCAAGAAACAACTAATCTTCTAATCAAGAACACGTAATTCAAAATTCAGTAATCAAATTCATTTTCAATGGATCAACATATGTTTTGCACTTTACAATTCTCTTAGTGATTTGACATAGACAATCTTGACATCAATATAGAAAAAGAATTTCAAGTTCTTGAGATTCAAATGTTTTTAAATCTAGAGCATATTTGGCTAAGTTTAAAATTCAATTAAAATTGAAAATATAGTCGTTATTGGATCACACTCGTCTAATAAAAGTCAACAATAACATCTAATTTTTCAATTTTAATCCGATTTTAATCTCTACCGAACACTTTCCTAATAAGTGGCATCGGAGCTAACTCCAAGTTATTGAGAATCAGGAAAGAATTTTGGGAAGAAATTCATACATTGAATTTTAAAATTCTTTAATTTCGAGATGCGAATTTTAGCCATAAATTTTGAATTTGAGATTTTTGGGAATTTTTTCGGAGTTAAAATAGGTTTAGAGCGCTGCAGCACCCAATCTCGAAAAACAGAATGTCTACGACCGCTTGCTAGCCGCTATCGTGCCCTTCGTTGACCACTAGGCTAGCGCTAAGAGCAGGGACTCCCATGCTTGTTGAGCATCGAGTTGGTACTCGAGCGACGATTTTGTCGGCGTTTGGGCGGCATCATCTGGACAAAAGCGATAAATTTTAAAAAAATTAAGTGACAATCAATTTCAAATTTTGGTACAATCACTTTCTTTGAAATATCTAATATTCTAAAATAGATTAGTTGAAATAACAAGTTACCAAACTAACATCTCTTATGTAAATTGATTTATTTGAAACATCAAGATGATTGTATGCATGTAATTGATGCAGATATTGACTGACCCGAAAGAAGGTAAATATTTAGCCGAATTACACGCACACCTATTATAATAAATATTTAAGTCGGTGCAAATATAGATTTATTGCTTGACATAATTTATTATCAATATTTGATTAATACACCAAGAGTAACACGTACAAGTTGATATTTATGTTCAAAAACTAAATATCAATGTTATGTTTTGTCTCTTGTAATAAGGTCATCATTATTTAAATCTATTAATTGTTTAATATGGATTCTCATGTGAACATGTATTTTTTGTTTTTTGTTTTTTGTTTTTTTTTTTTTTTTTTTTTTTTTTTGTTCTTTTTTCTGTNGTTCATTTATCTGTTTTTACAATATCTGCAAACATTAACTCTATTCATATGTTTAATGAAACCAATTTTAAGGATTGGAAAAAGAATGTTCATACTATTCTTTGTTGTATGGATCTAGACATTGCGTTAAAAATTGAACAACTCGCTGTACTTAAGGATAAAAAGTTCCGCTAATGAATGAAGGGATTTTGATAAATGCGTTCATCCAAACAACATTAGTCTTATGATCATGAAGTGTGAAATTCTAGAAACATTCAGAGGCGCTATGTCCTATAAAGTAACTACTACCAAGGAATTTCTTTAAGAAATTGGGGAAAAAAAAAAAAAGCTTTGCGAAAAGCGATAAAGCCGAAATTAGTATGCTTTGGGTGAAGTTAGTTTCACTGAAGTTTAAGGTTAAACGAAACATAAAAGAGTACATCATGTAGGGATGGCAACGGGACATGTATGAGACGTGTCGACCATTCCCACCCCCGTCCCGTCGAGTATTTTTGTTATCTTACCCCACCCCATATTCGGTTAAAGCGGGACGGGGTGGGTTTGGGGTGGGATCAGGGTGGGACGAGGCAAGTCCCATGCCTCATTTATCACCCCATTTATTATTTATTTTTATTTTTTTTATTTTTTGCTTTTATTTTTTTTAATGTCTTTAGCTAGTAAATATTATTACTTTTTTACCAATTTGTTAAAAATAATTTATGTTCCTTTTAAAAATGATGATAAATCTATTATTTTTGGTTGATAAAAAAATTTAAATTTGAAATTAACTTTAAACGTGGCGGGTAACGGGGCGGGGACTATGTTTCCCGTACCCGTCTCGTACCCGCTTTGGGGCAACGACCATCGTTCCCGTCCTAGTCCCGTTTATCTGGTTAGGCGGGTAATCTCCGTCCCATTCAGGGCGGGGCTCCACGGGTATCGGGTTGAACGAGTTTTTTTGTCATCCCCAACATCATGGAGATGACATCTTGCTTTAAAATTAAAGGTATTTAAGCTTGAGTTGTCTGATTGATTTGTTCGTGCATTTGATTTTGATTCTCTTTCTCCTTCTGCACAATTCAATCAATTTAAGGTCAATTACAGCTATCGAAATGAGAAGTGGACCTTAATGAGCTCATTTCATATTGTTTGCAAAAATAAGAAATGCTAAAGCAATAGAGAACTGGAAGTTCTTACTTAGAAAGTGTTTCTAAGGACAAGTTCAAGAAAATAAAGAATAAGAACTAGTTTGGGAGAGATTTTTGGAGGAAGAATTGAATTTGAATAGTGATATTATGAGAAATATGTGGTTGAAAAAGAAGATAATATTTCAAGAAAATAAAGAATAAGAAAGCTTCATTTGGCTCAATTCAAAAGAAATAGCAAAAGCTTGAAAAAGGATTAATCATATAACTGTTACTTTTGTGGAAATTCGGGACACATGAAGAGGATTATACTAAATACCACACATTGTGTGTAAAAAAGGTTCACTCTTCACTTTCGTTTGTTTTGAGATTAATTTAGTTTCAATACCTAGATATACTGGTGGATTGATTTCGGTGCCACAACTCATATAAATGTATCTATGTAGGGTTGCCTGAACATTCGAAAATCAAAAGATGTTGAAAGATTCATCTATGCTGGTGACTACAAATTAGCTTAAGTTGAGGCTATAGGGACTACTAGATTATTATTAAAGACTAGGTTTTATTTGGATTTGAAAATGATGGTAATGTTATTTAGACGAAATTCGATTTCTATTTCTGTATTGGACAAATTTGATTATTCTTGTTCATTTAGAAATAATCAGTTTAGTCTTTTTCTTAATTCAAATGTTATGGGTAATGGTTTTTTCATCAATGTATTACAATATATATTGGGTTATTGGCGCAAAACGTCCCTACCTTTGAAGGGTTGTGTGGAAAACATCCCTACGTTTGATTTTTTGGTGCGCAACGTCCCTACCTATCAAGTTTATTGTAGAAAACATCCATACCTTTCATTTTTTGGCACAAAACGTCCCTACCTTCTGCATTTCTTTGCACTGAACGTCCTTTGCACATTTTTTTAATTCAAAATGACCAATATACCCTCCTATGTAAATTGAACAAGAAAAGAAAAATAAAAAAGAAAGGATAATTGGCGCAAAACGTCTTTACCTTTGAAGGTGTTTGTGGAAAACACCCTACCTTTCATTTTTTGGTGTAGAACGTCCCTACCTTTTACATTCTTTGCGCTGAAGGTCCTTTTCACCAATTTTTAATATAAAATGACCCTTATACCCTCCTATATAAATAAAACAAAAAATAGAAAAATAAAGAACTAATTACAATCAAAGTCCTAAACGTTTTTAAAAAATACAAGTGAGTCCAAAATTTATGAAAATATTAAAAATAAAAAAAAAAAAAAAAACCCCCTATCTTCTCCTCTGCCTCTCTTCGAGTGGGGTCCCTTTTATATTACTGGGTCAATAATCCCTTTTATTTTTTTTATTTTTAATATTTTCATAAATTTTGGACTCACTTGTATTTTTTAAAAACGTTTAGGACTTTGATTGTAATTAGTTCTTTATTTTTCTATTTTTTGTTTTATTTATATAGGAGGGTATAAGGGTCATTTTATATT